AAGAAAACTTGAACGTGTTAATTTAGTTGCTAAAACATGTCTGAAATCAGATGAAGCGGGTGAATCTTACCTCCTCCAGTTTCTCAATGATCATGGAGAAGGCTTTAAAAATGGAGGTGGTTGGTCCCGCGAGAGTTATGATCCTCTCCGGACAGTTCCCCTCTGAGATGTTGATGCGAGCACCACTCTGTGGAAAAGGGAACAAAACAGGAAATATCTTCAGAATCAGGGATATCATATGAAGCATGAGTCAAATTCACTAAAAGTATGGACATGCTTCTTCTTGTTCACCCACATATGAACAATAAAGATAAAACATATCTTACCTCCTCTCTCATCTTCTTAACAGACTCTCCTTTCTGTGAAGAATATACAAATACACAATATTTACAAAACACAGAGGGCCAAGATGTAGACAGCAATCCTTCTGGCAGTAAAAAACAACTTACCTTGCCAATGATGCTACCAACCTCCTACAAAAGAGAACACAAATGTGTGTTAAAGCCTCTGTTCCTGGCAGAAGGAAAAGCGATGTTTGTGCTTATTTTCAAACACTGCATGTAATCACACTCACCTTCCCATGCATGAGTAGCCTGATGGTTAAGGTGACATTAAGTCCTCCTTCAACCAGGCTTGAGTCCATTTCTGCTGCTGAATCCACGATTAAACTGGCCACAAAGCTGGTCTTTGGTCACTGGTTGAATGTCTGCAATAGAGCGGAAAATGTGACTATCAGGGACAGGAAACTATGAGGACATCACAGCAGAAAAAAAGCCTTGTTTACTAAAAAAGCTGCTGTCAGTGCAGATCAATGTAGCGATGAATGCAGAGAGCATCGTGTTGATTTGATCTAGTGTTGTATTTAAACAACGTTATGTAGTCATGTTAAAGAATGAGGCTTTTCAGTCCAGTTATTCACGTTAGACTGGCCGGGGTCCACTCATTCACATTAGCACAATGACCCACTGTCTCCATGAGGCAGTGTCTATTACCTGGCGTAAAAACTGCTTTAGCGACATAGCTTATAGGTACATGTTTAAATACCGAAATGCAAGACCATAGCGTGCTCTTTATGTTATGGTTACTTTGTGTCGAGTGTGCATTAGCAGTACAATTAAGGCTCATAGGATAACATCGCAGATGCTATTTGATAAAGAGCATCACATCTAGTCGCGCAAGCAATGAATGCTACGTTAGCATTTCTATCAAACTACCAAAATACACAAGGAAAAACTGTTTGAATATTTGGCCACCATATCTATAATAACACACTAGAAAATACACTGGCTAGCAATTAACTCAGGATTGGCAATACAGTTAAACACAGTTCTGTTATTTTCCATTCAGGTCGCTAGCGTTAGCATCGCCTGATCCAGGAATTAGCCTGATCCCGCGGCCTACGGAGCGTATTGAGGCAACGCGCCGAGTTATCCCCGTCCTTCACTCCGGGAGCAAACCGACACAAAGACGCGTATTTCTGCAGGACTTACCCGATCCGTCCCTTGTAGAGTGTTCAGGGGGTGGGTAGGGTGGCAAGGGTGGAAGGGGAGAGGTTCGGGAGGGAGTTTTAAAAGGATCCGGGGAAGAGGGAAGAGACGCCGCTGTTCGATCGGACTCCACTCTTCTGCTTGGCACAAAAGACAAAATTAATTCAACTTTGACCTCTCAACTGCCCCGCCCCTCTCCCGGGGTCAACCCCGCCCCGGAGCGCTGCCCTGTGGATGGAAATGAACTGCCACTAACTACACTGTGGCTGTGTTAAATGTTTGAAAAAATAAAATAGGTAAGTTTTAAGTACATTTTGACACGCTGTTTATACTAAAGACCAAAACCCAATTTATATTGTGTTATACTGCTGAACTATACTACAATACCTTACACTATTTCTTATAATAATAATAATAATTATAATTATAAGTAGTTATAGTAATGTTATTTCTTTTATATCAACCCAACACATCTTATACCCCTATGTTTATACCACACCTTACTGTTCTATGTTAGTCTTATCATTAAGCCTGCTGTAATACATTATGTTTTGATATATTAATAGAGCCATATAGACTCACTTTAGACAGTTTCTTTTATCACATTTGTCTTGTGCAATTCCTTCTCACCTTTTAATATGTTGTACTGAGGGTAGATAAAGAAATGTTCTTTCTTTGGTTGTGTCCTTTTGGTTGTGTCCTATGAAGCCCTGTCCCCACTGCTGGTTATCTGTAAATCCAGCAGATGGCACAATAACTCTTTGAGCGACAGGAATCCAAATCAAGCTGGTTGCAGTCCCCTTTTAATCCTCCATCATTTCTTTCCGTTTGCTAAACAAGTTGCACTATCCATAGCTTGTTTTTCAGAATAAAAAGTATTGTTTGACCCAGAAAAAATATCTTAATGAAATAGTTATTGTAAAAAGTCCTCCCTACTCCCAGTGATGTTTCTGTTGATGAGTTCTGGATGAGTCAGAACTATACATTTACATTTTACAAATCAGGGCAGCTATAATAATAGTATTAATCATCCTACTGTAGTTAATCTCTCAGTACAGACTGAGTCAGTCCAAGGATGCTTGTGTAGGCTTCAGCGTTTTGCTATAAAGGTCTGACGATGAAAGTAGACAGTTGGTCAGTAATTAGTTCATGTGGTTAAGCAAGAGCAGAGCTGCACAAGTTGGCCTTTGTTGAAAATGGTATGTTGAATTCAATCAAATCCAGGGAGGCTTTAAAATAAAAGCTAACTTGGTCTGCGGTATTCACCTTTAGGCTTCTACGCCCTGGTGGTACTAGAAAACTGCTGATTTAGTATCACTGTGGCCGAAAGGAAGACTTCAGGAAATCACCTCTTGACCTGAAAATAATGAGCTTCGGCATTATTAATAAAGAAAAGAAAATGATTGATGACTTTCCGCTTCATGATAGATTGCCCTGTTTTCTGTGTAGGCTGTTTTGCCACATGAGTTATGGGATAAATGAGGATTTAAATTGTCGGCTGTTGTTTATTTTAAATTAGCAGAATAGAATCCAAGCACAGTTAAAACCTCCAAAACCTGGTGTTACCATAATTAGACTAGGGTACTTAATAAAAGAAGAAGAGATAGATTTAGTGGAACAGTATAGCTCTACAACCATGTGTTCATGGTCTGGTTGACAGCGCATTCTGCCTGAGCTAACTCAGCACATGTTCATTAATCTGGTGCACATCAGAGCACCCACAATACTGGTCAGAATAGCTCGTTATTGAATGTTACTAATCTTCTATTCCCGTGAGTCGTTAATCTTGTATAAATCCAATTCTCTAGCAGAACTGATGTCCCACGCAGCGTGGTTTACACACTGTTGTTTACACGTGTGACTCATGAATCACGTCTGGCTCTGTTTCATGGGTTTAAATTCACTCTGCGTTCGATAAATTGCCTCCACGAATGAAGAAATTGAGCTCAGCTACTCTGAAAGCAGTTTGTCTCAGCACTTCCTATTTTCTTATCTCGAGCATGAATCCAGGCCGTAGATGTTGGAGCTTGTTTCTCAAAGCCATCTGCAGTGCTGCCCGAATGGTGCCAGGCCTACAAGGCTAATGGTGTTTGTTTTTGTCCTCACCAGATTTGCCCCAATAAGCCAGCATGCTCTAGTAATAGGTACAACATTCACTCATGCATCATGAACAGTGTGGGTTTTTACTTTTTCATAGAAGAACATTGACAGGTTAATAAATAAGAAAACACATCATGTAAAAGACAAAGAACTTATTTTTTGTCATCACAAAAGAGATTTAATTAGGGTGGGAAATGCCTGTTTCTCTGATCATCTGAAGAGCGATCACCGAGAGATGGATTATACAGCCGAGAAGAGGTGCAAGCTCTTCAGCTTTTTCAATCAGCACATCTCCCTGGCCTTTTATGTGCGTCTCTCCCTGTCAAGTAATTGCTTACATAATCATCTGCTTACTTTAATCTCACAATCTTTCCCACAGTTTGTGCTTTTTCACACGTCCCCACTTTTCCTCCATCGTACCCCCTGCTAGATTCAACGCAACCTCCTCCAGTTCCCTGTTTTTCTCCTTCAGGGCTTTTATCTGACATGCCCACTGGCACTCTCACTCTCTCTCCGGGCCCTCTTCCCTTCACTGGTGAGTGGTCATTGATTACTGTACATGAATTGTATGATGAAATGCCACTCGCCCACCTAACATCCTCTTGTCAGCTGCCCCTGACATCCCACTGCCTCTGTGCATTGCAGACTGTCTTTGCTAGCCTCTGCTCACAATGTTACATTACATATGTGTGAAGTGGATTCACTTTTCTATATTGAGAGTGTAGTAACAGTAAGCCTCCAACTAGCACATATTTGCTGCAGATGTTCAATTTTATATTAGACTATTCAGCCGTATGTGTTTTGCTCATATTAAAGTAAATAATCTGGATTGCAGTGTGAAACCTGATGACACACTCAAAGCCACAGAGAGGGTTGTCCAATTAGTCACCTAATTAGCAAGTGAATATAGTTTCAAAAAATGTAAGGTCTTGAGAAGAGATGGAAAACAAAAGGATAAACCAGAGGATGTAGAAGTGGTTCAAACTATTTATTTCCTTAATTTTCCCCTTATGAGTTAATTTTATTCAATTTATCGAGATCACAACACATCTCAAAATAAAAAAATGTATCTTCCCAAGATAATGAAAAACTCTGGAGATTACAAAGATAGAAATCAAGATCACCAGAAAGTGCAATGCTTCATAAGTTTGAAGTAGTTGCCCTAAAAGACAATATCCTGTATTCTCTGGAAAACGTTTTTTAATTCAGGGTAATGGCATTATAAACCTTGTAATCTTGGGAAAACAACAAAAATTAGCTTGTTAATACGTGTAAATGGAGTAAATAAATGTTTGAATCATTGCTTTTATCCCATTATGTCTGGAAAACAATATTTGTAAGTTAATGGAAATGACAAGAATTAAAGTCATGATCTAGTTATCATGGGAAAACAGGTGATACAATGTCGAAACTATGGCTGTGAAGAGCTTCCGTATGAAACTCGGAGCGTATTATAATTATGGTTTAATGATACAATGAGAACAGAATAGTCTTTCCATTTGTTATTTGTGGCATCCATTATAGAAAATACCAATTGTGTTTGTGTGTTTGTATTCGTGACGGAGGGAATATTGGGATGCATGTGTGACAGAGCCGTGGGCAGTTTGAACAGATCTGTTAACTCTGTAAAATGAAGATGCAGAGCTGCACAGTGGGACTGAATTCTCTCTGCAGGGGTGTGAACGAAACCAAAAGCCTGTTCTTGTACAGTTGCTGCCACGTCACTACCTTTCCATAGCCGTAGTTAGATGGGGCCTGCGGGGTCACAGTGAGAGGTGACACGTGCCCACATAAACTGTCCAGTCAGGAACCAGAAAGGATGTAGAGCGGCTGTGACTCCCCGATCTTATTTTAAGAAGGTCTTCCACAAATAGTTTGCTCCCACAGAGACAAATAATTGGCCTGATATCTTGGGGGCACGAGCATGAGGAGCAGTCTGCATTTGAATGCCAATCCTCCACAGGAAGAACCCAGTTATTCATGCCAGTGGGCAAGCTCCCTGGACTCTGTGTGTTTAGGGAAACACATGCTATGGAAACAGAGCTTAAGACTGGGTTTGGAATTAAACAATACACCACCTAGGATTAGTACTAATGTATTTACATTGATGCACTCCACCCTGTGGAGCGAAATTAATGTGGTACTGCTCCAAAAATCGGGGCATACTGACTATATGCAGTGGGGCAGAAAAGTATTTAGTCAGCCACCAATTGTGCAAGCTCTCCCACTTAAAAAGATGAGAGAGGCCTGTAATTTTCATCCTAGGTATACCTCAACTATGAGAGACAAAATGAGAAGAAAAAGATCCAGAAAATCACATTGTCTGATTTTTAAAGAATTTATTTGCAAATTATGGTGGAAAATAAGTATTTGGTCACCTACAAACAAACAAGATTTCTGGCTCTCACAGACCTGTAGCTTCTTCTTTAAGAGCCTCCTCTGTCCTCCACTTGTTAACTGTATTAATGGCACCTGTTTGAACTCGTTATCAGTATAAAAGACACCTGTCCACAACCTCAAACAGTCACACTCCAAACTCCACTATGGCTAAGACCAAAGAGCTGTCAAAGGACACCAGAAACAAAATTGTAGACCTGCACCAGGCTGGGAAGACTGAATCTGCAATAGGTAAGCAGCTTGGTGTGAAGAAATCAACTGTGGGAGCAATTATTAGAAAATGGAAGACATACAAGACCACTGATAATCTCCTTCGATCTGGGGCTCCACGCAAGATCTCACCCCGTGGGGTCAAAATGATCACAAGAACGGTGAGCAAAAATCCCAGAACCACACGGGGGGACCTAGTCAATGACCTGCAGAGAGCTGGGACCAAAGTAACAAAGGCTACCACCAGTAACACACTACGCCGCCAGGGACTCAAATCCTGCAGTGCCAGACGTGTCCCCCTGCTTAAGCCAGTACATGTCCAGGCCCGTCTGAAGTTTGCTAGAGAGCATTTAGATGATCCAGAAGAGGATTGGGAGAATGTCATATGGTCAGATGAAACCAAAATATAACTTTTTGGTAAAAACTCAACTACACGTGTTTGGAGGAGAAAGAATGCTGAGTTGCATCCAAAGAACACCATACCTACTGTGAAACATGGGGGTGGAAACATCATGCTTTGGGGCTGTTTTTCTGCAAAGGGACCAGGACGTTGAAAAGGACCAAA